AGACTTCGCTGAACACAAATATTAGTGTTTCAAAACAGTAAAATGTATTACAACGATGACATCGCCAGTAAAAGTGACGTTTTTTGCATTTTCACGCACAAACAGCACTTACACGGACGATATTATTGCTGCGATACTTTTTACTGTTTTGAAACACAAATATTTGTGTTCAGCGAAGTCTCCCGAGTACAACAGTACCCATCATGTACAGGTTTTATGGTGTTTTCAAAAGTTACAGCGTCAAATATAAGGCTTGTGTTTCATTTTTTTCACATTAAAATTCGCCAGATAGGTTACGTTGCCTTTGAGACCCTATGGTAGCCTAAGAATGAAAATTACCCCTATGATGGCATACCATTTGCAATAGTAGACAACCCAAGGTATTGCAAACGGGGTATGTCCAGTCTTTTTTAGTAGCCACTTAGTCACAAACACTGACCAAAATTGGCGTTTTTTGCATTTTTCACACACAAACAAATACTAACGCTAACTTGGGCCAGTGTTTGTGACCAAATGGCTACTAAAAAAGACTGGACATACCCCATTTGCAATACCTTGGGTTGTCTACTATTGCAAATGGTATGCCATTATGGGTGTAAATTTCATTCCGGGCTACTATACAGTCTCAAAGGCAACGTAACCAATCTGGCGAATTTCAATTTCAAATGTAACGTGCTGTATTTGACCCTGTAACTTCCCAAAACGCCATAAAACCTGTACATAGGGGGTACTGTTTTACACGTGAGACTTTACTGAATACAAATATGTGTATTTTATTGCAGTAAAAGCAAACAGTATTATGACACTGACCGTTAAAATGTCATGTAGAACTAAAAAAATAAAAAAAATCTTATTTTCTCCCATTTTTTCATATTAAATTATGTTTCATAGCTAAATATTTGATATTAAACGAAAGCCCTGTTAGCCCTGAATAAAATGATATATAATAAGGGTGGGTGCATTTACTATGAAAGAGGTGTATTACGGTTGGACAGACATGTAGCGCAAATGCCAGGTTTTGTTTACATTTTGTTTTGTTAACAACGTGTACATTTGGCTCCGTCCTTAAGGGGTTAAGGAAATTATCTTCTCATCCATCATAATTCAATACCAATACAAGCAGATGTTTTGACCCAATAAAATAAACGAACCATATTAGCATATTGTATACCAAAACATGAAAATGAGGGGAGGAAGAGAAGAAAAAAAAAAAAAAACACAACCATATATACATATATACACAATAAACACCTCCTGGACTTACCCAATGCCAGGAGTTAATTAGGGGGCACAGTTTTCCCAGGTCTACTTCGGCCTTGGGATAAACTGCAACTACTCCCATCAACCTGAAACCTAGATTTTTAAACTAATACTAGCAACCTGATTTTTCTTAACATAACATGGGTCCTCTTACACTTCCCTAAACGCCTCCTTAACACATATGAGCTGTCCTCGGACCCTATACAAAACCATTCAAAAACCAAAAAACTCCATATTATCCTATAATACAACATTTTTACTGCTGAATTACTATTGAGATTTTATTTTTTATAAACGCATCATTTATAAAATACATACACCTATATAATATGCTTATTTCTTCTCATATATGCCTTACTATATTATTCCATGTATACCAATATGCAATAACTTAATCCCTTCACTTCCTTATTCTCCCCTTCACAATCACCATCAGTATATCACATTATATCCCGCTTCCCCCCAACAAAAGAGGGAGGGAGAAAAAAAAAAAGAGATTAGCCTAAATAAATAAAAATGTATGTCCTTTTAAGTTTGATTCTCTCTCGCATCAAACCATTCTCTGGGTAAAGTAGGTAATGGGGTCTTTTGTTGAAATAATGGTATTACTCCCTCTGGTGTATCCAGGCCCATTGTCTGAAAAAATCTACTTGGATCCCCCGTTGGTAATAAAGCTCTGGTTTGTTCATTATGAAAAGCGAGAAGTTTAAAGGGATGGCCCCATGCAAAGGGAATGTGATTAAGTCTCAGATGATCTGCAATCGGCTTCCATTGCCTTCTCTTTAAAAGAGTAGATGGTGAAAGATCTTGAAAAATCTGAAGCACCTTTTCTCTGTAAATAACCTCCATCCCCCTACATTTGTGCACTACAGCGTCTTTGGTGCTATGGTAATGAAATCTCACGATTATATCTCGGGGTCGTTCATCATTCCTTCGTGGACCACCTGACAAACGGTGCGCCCTGTCAATTTCCCATCTGGGTTCAGGAATGTCTGGTAGTAAGGGTCTAAAGATTTCTAAAACCAAATTCTGTACCAGACCCTCATCTCTTGTTTCCGGTATCCCTCTAATTTTAATATTATTACGTCGTGATCGATTTATAAGATCCTCAAATGCCACTTCTAAAGCGTCAAGCCTTGTGCCCCATTCTGAGCTCTGGATTAATAAATCATTATGTGCTTTTGCCACAGCCTCTACCCTCACCTCTAGGACGGCAGTCCGATTACCAATTGCCTGGATCTCTAATCTTATTTCCTTAGCATTTCTCTCAATCTCTCCGGCTAAAAAAATTCTATCCTCTTTCATTTGTGCCAATATACATTGTATGCCGTCTAATCCTGATGTCCGCATAATAGGTATAGAAATGTTAGCTGTATCAATAGGTAACATTTTACCTGATCCTCCCTCTCCCAGGTCTGAATGGGTCTGGTCTGGATGGTCTGACTGGATCTCGTGGCTATCCCCATTTTTCCTGCCTTCCAGGCTGTTTGTTGTATCCTGGCAATTATTCACCATGTCAGTGCTATTCGCAGCTCCTGAAACTGCTCGTTTTGTGGATTTTGCAGCGTCTTCATTTACATGCGCAGATTTCGCTGGCTGAAACATGGAGTGCATAGAATGTAGAGTGCTGCTCCTGGACTTCGGCTTAGATCCCTTCCGTAACGATTTCATCAGTAGCAAGCCCAGGAAGGGGTATAATACCCTTTTTTCCCCCCCTTTAAAAAAAAAAAAAAAAAAAACCAAAGCAAAGAAAAAAAAAATCCTCCTCGTTAGAGATCTGCTAAAACGCTGCCCTGTTACACTGTTACAACAATATATGCCAATATGTAACAGTATGTAACAATATGTAACAGTGTACCAATATGTAATATGCAATGTGCAATGCGTAGCTGTATAGCAGTACTTTATCTATAATTCACCCGCAGAGTAGAGGAAGATTAGGGGAGAGATTGAGTAATTGAGGTGAGTAAAATAGAGAATATAAACTGATATAATATAGCAGGTAGAGCAGGTAGAGCAGGTAGAGCAGGTATATTACCAGCTACCCAGCTATCTAGCAGTCTAGCCGGCTATCTGACCGGCTGTGCATACAGCTGCTCCTCGTCTACGGGTAATTGAAAACTTCACCGGCTCAAATTAATTTAAATGCTGAAGGGATCAAAAAAAAATAAGAGAGACAATATAGTATGCTGGATTTTCAATTTTTCAAAAAAAACCTTCGATGTCCAGATCAGGTTGTTTTCAGAGGCTTCTGTGGCTTCAGTGAGGGGAGCTCTCTGCCTGAACGTCTACCTACATCAATGGTCAGACGATCAAACGATCAAACGATCAGACCACACCCCCACCAACAGTTTCTACTGAAAAAGTGCTGTTTCTAAGTGTGTGGTTGGAGATATTCTGGAGAGTTTTACAGCAGCTTCAACTGTCTAAGATTTGTGCTGAGTTTTCTTTTTTCCTGTTGGTAAGATTTATCTGTAGGAAAAGGTTACTGATTGAACAAGGTTTGATTTCCTGTTGGTAATTATAAGGCATTTGATTTGATTAGTTAGCTACTTGCCATTTATTGCTGTTTAATTAGCTATTGTTTGAAAATAAGCAGAGGCCTACCCAGGTTTTAAACATTCCTAGTGGGTGGTGATTTTAG